TGGTCTGGTGCGCATCAGAGAGCGGACTATTAGGTGTGAAGGCACCCTAAGTGAACTTATTAGCAGCATTACAGCATTATTTATAAACCTAACACAAAAAGTAAGAACATTTGTGTTTGGTAGATTATGTGCTGCTTCTTGGATATAAATCTTACACCGTTGGAAAGCCTGTTTTCTTACCTTTCCAATGGTACCACATTTGTGAGGAACAAGCATTTGTTGGATGAGCCTCATCGCTGAGGATGTGGGGCGCGCCCATGAAAAATGTGACAAGTCTCTTTGTAATTATAAAGGAAAAATAATGAATTTAGTTTCTAAATAATAATAAAACATATTCTTAATATTATGTCATTATTATTATTAAAGTGTGTTATTCTGAACTGCAAAAACAAATATTTTTGCTTGAGAATTGTCAAATATAAGAATTACGTTCGATCGTCTTCAGATACCACAACAGAGAGTAAACCAGAGTTACATAAGTGTTTCATTTCTACTTGTGAAACTCTTACAGAGCCTCATCTATATTAGAAACCAGCACCATGTGAGTGTGTGCCCTCCTGTGTTTACAGAGAATAACAATGATTGCTGACCTGCAGACAGAATAAATGAAACCAAGCAGGTCACCATCTGAAGCTGTAGAGAAGGACAAAAGGTAAAAGGGGGGATTATTTTGTATCCTTGTGTGTGTTATACATGCTTCTTTTGTTTCATTTAAATGCCTTTAATTGTGTACTACTTGTTGTGTTCAGCAGTCCTTTAATTTACTGTTTCCAGCAGAGAGACTTTCAAGGACTACTAACCCTTTCAGAAGTGCAACATGTAAGACAGATAGAAAAATCCAATGTATTTCTTAGTGTTTTCCTCCCCGGCTGCCAGCAAACTAATTCACCTTTTGTTACACATATAACAGTTGCTCCATTTTCATATCAACGTAGAACAGTTAAAGTCTGCACATTGTACGACAAAATACACCAACAATTAATATGAAAGTATATGTATAATACACCCAATTTAAACTATCGTAACGAAGCGGAAAACATACCGCTGTTATTCTCACTCTGAGTTGCAGCTGTTTGTGGAAAGTGTGTATATTCTCACCCCAATGTTAGTTTGCTTATCAGACTCATCGCTCCACGGACACTCAATAGTTGGACTGGCAGATCCAAATTGAGATGTTTACATATTTAACTCATAACTAAACATATCTTACTTCTTACTTGCTACCCTTTTCCCTCAACCAATAGGAGTGCATGTACGTAGACACGTTAGTTTTGCTGCTATAGGCTTGGACTGTCGGGGGACACCTTATTTCTTCCTTCTGTCTGTCTGTACCTGTGTACTCTCATGTTCCGAATAACCCAGCTTCCCCAAATGTCTTTTTGGTGTCTATCTACGCCGGGATCCTGAGTCGTGGCTGATCTGTTGCTGCGGTCCCGTGTCCTGGATCCTGGATCCTGAATCATGTGTCCTGGATCCTGAGTCCTGGATCCGGAGTCCTGGACTACAAACGGTGAAGTCCACTGAGACAAATATAACATTTGTGATATTGGGCTATATAAATAAACATTGATTGATGATATCTGTATATGTCCTATCCTGTGATTCACCCTTGTTACTGCTGCCAGAAATGGGAGAAGTACTCAGTTATTGTACTTGAGTACACTGTAAAAAAAAGTCCGTGAAATTAACAGGGAAAAGCTGTAAAATCACGACATCAAAAAACTGTAAATAGAGAAACAATGAAGCAGTGTTTAATTTACAGTAATATTTCGTAAAGTACTGAACCAAACAAAACTGTTAAATTCACATTAAGAATATGTTAAAAATAATTATNTTGTGTGGTTCGGGGGGGGGGGGGGGGGGGAGGAATAAGGACACTTGAGCCACGCCACCGATGACGAGGTCCTAGAAGTAGTCCAGAACCACACATAGTCTCCCGAAAGTCGCCCGGGAGTCGTCTGGCACCCGTTGTGGTCGGCCCCAGGAGTCTAGGCGAGTATTCCGTTCCCGGTTCCGCGAGAGGGGGCCGAAGTGGACCCTGTGGTCCTCCTAAATCGTCCCCAACACCCGTAAACTTGTTACAAAAATCAGAAACATCACTCATTCATCAAACCGAGGTACCGTCGACAAAGTATATTGGATACTTAGTAGGTCCCTTTTTAACACCGTAAGAAATTATATTCATACAGTAATCGGGTATATAATTTCATACACAAAATTCACAAGGAAAACTCGCAAACCTTAGTGAAATTGTGCATAATGTATTGGCAGTATTAAACATGACCATGAACCAATTCACAATTTTCACATTTCACCATACCGTAGTATGAGACTGTTAATTTATCCAAATTAAAGTAAAGTTTACAAGCAAAATATCACTTAAATAACCCTGGATATTTCGAATGACAGAGTTCCGGACAATTTGACTACCTGGCAATTTCACGAGATAGTACGTACCGTAAACGTAGTAGTTGACAGTCGGTAAGACGTGGATGAGCTCAAGTATCACCTCAAGACAATATAATGATTAATGAGATAAAGATAAACATACTATAAAGTCACCATTCGGACTTCGCTTCACCGTGTAAATTTTGACAATTGTGGGATACGATAAAAACCGATCAATCTTTTAAAACAATCTACCTCTCCACTGGGGCACAATTCACCAGTTGAAACAGGCTTCAGTGCTTCTATCAGATTATGAAAGCAGCTGTTTCACATTACATCGCTCCAGAACGGGAACATAGGAAGTTTGGCAGAGATATATGCATGTGAATGTGTGTGTGTGTGTGTGTGTGTGTGTGTGTGTGTGTGTGTGTGTGTGTGTGTGTGTGTGTGTGTGTGTGTGTGTGTGTGTGTGTGTGTGTGTGAAAGACAGAGTTGAATTCAGCTGTGAAAAACTGTTAGGTCAGACTGTTCTGTCTGTATTAAGATGTACGTTGATGCGGGAGTTATCTTGCAACAAAATCGGATGATGTTTCAGTTAAACAACATTTTTCAAATGTTACAATCAATCTAAATGTTATCCAAATTGAAGCATGGACTTGTGCAATATCCAAATTGCAATAAGCACAGAATTTGGTAAAGGCAAAATACGGGAAAATATCGGATTGAAGTACCGTATTGTATTGCTGCAGAGATATTCTGGAAATAAACCGTACTCTACAGACCAACAGTTTGGTACTTTTTAACATATCTTTCAATAAAAACGCAAATGTTGGTTTATAAATGATTAATCCCTCAGTCATGGTGCAGCTCCAGTGCGGATGTGTTTGTGGACTGTGGCTGCTGGTATTTGTCGTAGGGCTTCAGGTTAAGTCAACATTTATTTGGGAGGTCAGCGTATAAACACAGCAGCATAATAAACAGGTGACAGCAGGGAATGTCATGCAGGGACAGAGGAGTGTTTAGACTTAGAGCCTGTTGACAGCCACGATGCTCTGATGATGTTATTGTGAGGACAGGAGAGGGGTCGGAGGAAATAAATCAGACAGGGCACGATATGCAAACATCCTGCATCTAAATTACTATCGTTTTATATATTTGTTCATTTAGTTTTGCTTCTCTGTAGTTGGAAAACTGTGTGTCTGCTCCATTAACTACCACTTCCACATGTCTTTGCCCAGAACAGATTGGGGGTTTTTCCTGTGTTTAAAACTGCGTAATACAATTGAAATGTGATTTGTGTTTGGTATGTTGTTCTCAGTAAAGCACATGATGAGAGATAGAGAAAACGAGGGCAGGGTACCATTCACATTAGAATCAATACTGGTATTTGTTACAGATAGCGAACGGTACTCAGACAGATTAAAACAGTAGAAGAGTAGGAAAAGGTAAATACTCAAACTACCAAACTAACAAAACATCTAATCCCATTTGTCTTTGAGTGACTTCTTCTTTAAGCCAGCAGGAGGATGTCTTAATGGAACAAATACATTTGCTCTCCCCTGAAAGAGTTGTTGCAGCTGTAAATGTCGATATAAGCGAGGAGACACTTGGCAAACACAAAGCTTGATGTCAGGCCGTGATGAATGTCCCCCTCTAAATTACTTTCCTCTTGATTTTGTGTCTGTGTGCAGGCCAGCAGAAGATTTGTCTCGAGAAGCCAAGTCCAGCACTGACGTTAATCACAACTGCACGGCCCCTCTGACCCCAGGGAGCCATGGCTCGGGGAAGACGTCATCACAGGGGGTCTCCTCTCCGAGCCCCGCCTCCTCCAGCAACTCTGTGCTGTCCAACTTCCTGTACGGCATGCCCATGTCCTCCAAACCTCACCCCGATGGGAAGCTGGACTTCAAACCCATGTCCCTCCTCAACCTGGGGACAGACCGGCTGAACAACTGGACCGCAGGGGCGGACAAGATGGCGTTGGTCAAAGACTGTCCAAACAACGGTGAGATGTGTGGAGAGTGGATGTTATGTTACGTTATTATCCAAGTTGCACGTACGAACTGCGCATGCGTGAGTGGCAATACCTCACCTCACCAGCAGGCGGCGGTAGTGTGTATTCGTCATTCAAAAGAGGCAACCGGAAGAAAGACTGCGTGATAACCCAGAGAAGAAGAACAGATTGCGTGATATAAACAAACAACAAATAGAGTGTTCCATTTTCACTCTACAGCGAGAAGCTCATGGGGCTTTCCCCAACCTGTGAGGAGAGCTGGAGTTAAACGAAATCTCAGATTTGCCTTCTCAATAGTTTGTTTGGGTCCCTCACTTCCGTTTCGCTTCTCATGCACTGATTCGCTAGCTGAACAGCCAATCAGAGTGATTTATTTAGCCGACGGCCTTTTACCGACAGCCCACCAATTAAACATATTGAATCGACGACGGAAGGTGTTGGCACGGCCGAAAAGATACGACCGGGCGGGACGCACCAAGGGCGACAGGACGCTCATCGACGGCCAGACATCTATCGACATCTATCGACGCCGAAAATCGGCTTGGTTTGTAAGGACCTTTTATACGTGGTCTGCAAAAGCATGGGAAAGCAAGTAGTAAGTAGCAAGTATTTACAAACGGCATCTATTGCACGTCTGTCCGTCCTGGGAGAGGGATCCCTCCTCTGTTGCTCTCCCTGAGGTTTCTCCCATTTTTCCCTTTAAACTGAGGGTTTTCTCTGGAAGTTTTTCCTTGCACGATGTGAGGGCCTAAGGACAGAGGGTGTCGAATCGTCATACTGATATTCTGTTCAATCTGTGAAGTCCACTGAGACAAATGTAACATTTGTGATATTGGGCTATATAAATAAACATTGATTGATTGTAGGTCTTTAAACGAGATTTAAAAACAGAAAAAGTGGGAGCAAGAAATTATATTCAATTTCATTTAGCAAATGCTTTTCACCTGAAGCAACTACAAAACATGCGTTCAACCACGAAGAAACAAACTCAACACAGAAATAATCCTGCAAGTACATCAGCTTCCAATAAGCCACACCTCTGTAAAGGCTGCTGCATTGGCTTCAACTGAAACTGAAATGAATACATTTCAATATCAATCCAAGTAATCGCTATTTTTCCACATCATGTTGCCCTTTATTGGATGAATTTTAAATATTCCTTTAGAGAATGGAGGTAAAATTCAAGATTTATACAACATTCACAATAATGACCCTAATAACGGAGAGTATTGAAACAAAGTATTTCAGACTAAGTGCTTTTATTCTATGCCTCTGGTGTTCCTGAAAAAGTGGTAAATGAGTGCTTTGAAGGCCGATTATTACAACGCTCATTAATTCATTCAAAGCAGCAATTTGCCTTTATAGCACATTTCCTTCGTATACTCATATCTGCAAATTAGTCATTTAACTCACAGCCACTAGTAGTCAGCTGGACCTGCATACCTATAATTAAAAAGTGTTATAAGAGAAAGAAAACAACTGCAGACAAGACCAACACATAGTAGTGTTTCCATCCTGGTACTTTTGTATCTTGGACGTCACTTAGATCAGTTAGTCTATCTGGTTACTGAGTGAAATTGTTGTGCCAGAGTTACACAAATACAATAAACACAGCAGCATAATAGTAAAACTGTACACTAAAAGTGCTGTACAAAGAGCAATTAAATATCTATATGAAACATAGACGGTCACATCATTAATGTAAATATTAACAGTATTTAGTTGTGCAAAAAAAAACGTGGTGGCAGATATGTAATTGCACGTTATCATAGAACATTTTTGTAATGATGGTAATGATATTTATATTGCACATAGTGTTGGTGTGGAAGTTCTCAGTTCCCTTTTCTGAAGGGTGAAGAGAGTTTAATGGCCACTGAGAGGAAAGACCTCCTGTGGCGCTCCGTGGTGGTCTTCGGTGGTCTCAGACTGAGACGGTAACGCAAAAGAACCGAATTCGATATCAAAAAAGTCTTCCGTCCACACGCAATAGGTACCAGAAATGTGTCCGTTCACAAGAGACCGCTCGAAAGCGCTGGAGACGCTGTAGTACATATGCC